TTCTGAAGAAGGGTCTAGGCCCGAAACGTCAGCTTTTCTGCTCCTCTGATGCTGCTTGGCCTGCTGTGTTCATCCAGCTCTACATGTTGTTTCCTCTAAGCGAGGATGTTTAAAGGGAGGTTTAAGACAAGGGTTTGAAAACCAAGGATTTTGATAGTGTGGGTCAGGACCCAGGGTCTCCAAAGGGCACAGAGGTGTAAGGTGTTTGAGGGAGGCAAGGACAGCCTGCTTTCACTCAGCAAGTGGTTGTGATCCACAAGGTCCTGTCTGAAAGGGCAGGGGTGGGTGGGGTGGAATTCAGCAGGAATTTCACTTGCCTAAGGACTGGATTTGCTGAGCCATGGGGTAGGAGATGTGGTATTAATTGGATTGATCATTCGGAGAGATGGCACAGCTCAGTGGGCTGAATGGCCTCTTCCTGAAGGATCTCTCGACACAAGGTTTGAGCTTTGAGAATGGTAATGACCCAGGGGCTATGACCCCAAACTCTATGCCCTTCGCCCTGCAGTTGTTGCCCCTCAATGGAAATAAAGATCGACTGCTCCCAGCATCATCACAAAAGTTAACAATTTTACCAAACACTGTTCTTTTAGACCCAGGTTGACAGAAAGCACTGAAGTCGCACAACACCTGGTTCTAGGTCCAACAGAAACAAAAACAGAAGTTGCTGGAAAAGTTCAGCAGGTCTGGCAGCATCTGTGAAGAAAAGAATCAGAGTTAACGTTTCGGGTCCGGTGACCCTTCCTCGGAACTCAGGTTCATTTGAAAGCACAAGCTTTTTGAGCACTGCTCCTTCATCAGGTGACGAAGGGGCTACGCTCCAAAAGCTTGTGATTTTAGATAAACCTGTTGGACTATAATCAGGTGTCATGTGACTTCTGACCTTGTCCACCCCAGTCCAACACCAGCACCTCCACATCATGACAAAAAACACAGACCAGGTTTCTTTACTGAGGCAGCATTATGAACAAATCGATTCTAACTGCAAAGAAACCATAATGAACGATCACGCGACCAATTAAATCTCTAGCCCCGTATAGAACTCCCTCTCTACAAATACAAACTCTTTACAGACAGAAGCATAAACACTGGTGTGATGGGTGGAGGTTAAAGACTGGGAAGACAGTTCAATGGTCCCTGTCCCCAGGATTCGCTGGGTTAATCGTTTAATTGATCAGAAAGCTGCTTCTCTAGATACAGGAGGCACAGAGTGACTGATTCACATGGATAAAAGTCTCTGGCTTACGAAAAATAACAGGCAAGGGGAAAGAAACTGGCTCTTTTCAAGGCTGGATAGGCTTTTTAATGCAGAGCAAAAACAACCCTTTCCCTTCCAAAGATTATTCAAAGCCTTCCGGCCCAAACATTCTCACCCACAAGCTGTTCAGCTATCCAGGAGCCAATCACATGGCTGTTGGCAGGTAGGAGGCCTTTGGTCACAATTTCGCAGGCCAATCACCTACTTGTTGCTGGCGAAATCTCCAATCGCGCACGTCCCCCTGGCTCCAGTTTGTCTGAAACCTGGCACCCCTCCCCCACCCACAGCTTACACCAACAGCTGTGTAACCAGCACTTACAAAGAGCTTTTAGCAGGTGCAGCAAACCTCCAATAATCCTCAGCTTTGGAGACGTTCTTCAGAATCTGAAACATTAGAGTGAGAAGAAGTGATTACACACTTTGTCTCAGGGTTTTAGGCTGTGGATTACAGCTCAATCCTGGAAACAGATATAAAGTGGGAACAAGGAGCAGGTCATTGTTAGTGAGAGCTTTGCTGAATGTGCCTGAATGTTCATTTTAGTGTAATTTTAATGTTATTTTGGTGTAATTTGCCTCTTTTCTCCTGCAGGGACCTCTGTGAGAACACCACGGGTAGGAGCCCGCTGGAACACCCCATCGAGACAGCCCCCAGGTTGGATACCATGGCCCAGAACCAAGGAGCTTCCAGAGCCTCGGGCCTACCGCCCACATCTCTCAAAACCAGGCCGGCCAGCCCCAAAGCCTCACGGGTCAGCCTGGCCCAGCCAACAACGCCTATCACTCCTCGCCGGAAGCTCAGCATGCCGACGGAATACCGGGACACCGTGCCGGCAGAGTTCCAGGACAAAGCCAAGAAACCCAAGGTGGCGGCCGGAGGGGACAGTCCACTCCCAGCTCGGAGGGCCAGCTCAGGAGACGCTTCACCCGCCCATTCCCGCTCTGGGTCCTGGGCCTCGGACAGGATGAGGTACCTGGAGACGTTCCCGGAGCGGCGGCGGAGTTTCGAGTTGGCAGACGGCCAGCCGTGGCCCGGTTTCCGGAAGTGGCGATCCTTCGACCACGCCGAGCAGCGGGAGGGCAGGCTGCGGCCTTCTTTGTCCGAGCTGCTGGACGGTGAGGGGCGGGGGGGCCCGAGGACGGAAGGCGGAGCAGGGGCCGAGGCGAAACGCTCGCTGTTCCGGCAGAAAGCGGCATCTTTCGACGAGCGGGGACGGTACGCCTCCAGGGCCCGGGACGTCGAGCTGAAGATCTCGGAGGAGCTGAGCCGAATCAAAAAGACAGCCATGAGCTCGATGGTGGCTAGGCCCGTGCTGAGGTCTCCGGTGCTGGAGCGCGCTGTCAACCGCGAGCTGTCCTCACGGAAAGCTGCCAGCTCCAAGTGGGCCCCGAACCCCCCAGGAGAGGCGCCTCGGGGGCCAGAGAGGTCACTGTCAGACGGCTCACGTAAACCTCTGCAACGGGGCGTTGCCACGGCGAGTGGGGAAGCCCAGGATCCTGAGTCAGGCAAGGCTGGAGTGCGAGATCCTGCCGTCAACCACCTTGACCAGGAGCAGGCCGGATCCCGGCCTCTGGGCGCCCCTCAGCCCGTTGTGGAAACGGTTGTGAAGGTCAGGTCCACTTCCGAGGGCCGCGCTCCAGTTACTGCCCCTGCCCTGCCCTCGCCGCCCGGGTGGGACGCCAAATCTTCGCTGCCCCTTCCCAAGGAGGCTGCGGACTGGCGCAGGGGGAGACCGGAGTTGGGAGACGCTGCCCCAAGGCTAGGCCTTGCACCCCTCAGCCCAGCCTGCGCGACACACCCCGGACCCCCTGGCACCGCGCCCGATGAGGGAATGAGGAGCCCTGTGCCGGACCACACCGAGGCTGACTCCACCACGGATTTGAAAGAAGACGCCGCCGCCCTGGCTCGGGAGAAATCCGGCCGGAAAACTGCCAGAGGGAAATCTAAGAAATCCCGCCCCAGTTCGCCGGAGCTGGGTAAGGAGAGCAGGCAAAGAGTTAAAAAGAAACTGGAGCTTTTTGCTGCCTTGAATTTTGCTGTCCCAATCTCACAGTGCATGGATCCCTCCTAGACCACAGTCACAGCACTCATTGTGGACGAACGGGGGTGTAAATATACAGGAGATTGACAGGGAGGCTGTGAGAAAGGGACAGGAGGTTCATAGTTTGCCCAGAGCAATTGGTCGTGTGTGTTGGATCTTAAGACTACAAGCCCTGGGAGCAGAGGCAGGCCATTCAGCCCATTTAATGGCTGATCCTGATCATTCCCGACTCCGCATTCCTGCCTTCTCCCTGTCACTCTCGATTCCTTTACTGATTACAATCCTGTCCGTCTCGGCCTTGAACATACTGCATGACCCGGTCTCGATGGCCCTCTGTGGTAAAGAATTCCACAGATTTGCTCTCCTTTGGGAGAAGGGGAGGTGATGACCCAGTGTTATAATCGCTGGACTGTTAATCCAGAGACCCAGATAATGTCCTGGGGACCCGCGTTGGAATCCCGCCACGGCAGATGGTGGAATTTGAATTCAATAAATATCTGGAATTTAGAGCCTAATGCTGACCATGAATCCATTGCCAATTGTTGGAAAAACCCATCTGGTTCACTAATGTCCGAAAGGGAAGGAAGCTGCCATCCTTACCTGGTCTGGCCTACATGTGACTCCAGACCCACAGCAATGTGGTTGACTCTGAACTGCCCTCTGGGTAATGAGGGATGGGCAATAAATGCTGCCTGGTCAGTGACTCCCTCATCCCGTGAATGAATAAAGGAAAGGAATCCCTCCTTATCTCTCTAAAGTTTCCCATTAGGATGATTGCAGGGTAGGTTGGGGTTTGAATGCTGCTCCCTTGGAGAGGGGCTGAAGGAGGGAAGGGAGTGGCACATTGGCTCAGTGGTTAGCATTGCTGCTTCACAGTGCTAGGGACCCAGGTTCAATTCCACCCTCAGGCAACTGTCTGGGTGGAGTTTGTACATTCTCCCTGTGTCTGCGTGGGTTTCCTCCCAGAGTCCAAAGATGTGCAGGTTAGGTGGATTAGCTGTGCTAAATTCCCCATTGTGTTCAGGGATGTGCAGATTAGGGGGGAGGGGTCTGAGTGGGATGTTCTGAGGGTCAGTGTGGACTTGTTGGACCGAAGGGCCTGTTTCCACACTGTAGGGATTCTCTGATGATGACAATGGCAGTCACAAGAGGGTGGGTAGGGTGGTTACAGACTCAGTTGAGGGGCACAATAATATTCACAGCTGGTCAACTACTGTGTCTCACTTCCATTTTGATATTCAGTCCTTCAGAAGACAGGACAAGGTGCTTTTCAATCCCAACCTCACAATGGTTTGAATTAACAAGAAGTGGCCTTTATTTTGTGTTTGGCAGAATCCTCAGATGATTCTTATGTCTCAGCTGGCGAAGATCCTTTAGAGCCACCAGTATTCGAGATTAGTATCACCGACTCCCTGGTCACTGTGGGGGCATCAGTCCTTCTGAAATGTATCATCACTGGAACACCAATGCCTCAAGGTAGGACATTACACTGGCCACGTGACACTGCATTGGTATATAAACGGTACCTTTCATTTCCTCAGCACCCGCCAAAATCTTTCGTTTGTGTTGTTGCTTACAGCAGAATGATAATGAGGCATTTGGGATATAATCCTTTCTTCGAGAGTATTTGGAGCAGAATGGGAAGGTCCACTCTAGTTGTGTTCATTTAATCTGAACCAGATGATGAAGCACCAAACAAGACCCAGCCCTTTCATAGTGTCACTGCTCCCTACCCCTGAACTACAATCCCAGTGAGCGGTAGTGTGGTAGAGGTTTATCAAATGGTGAGGGGCATAGATAAATTGAATAGCAAAGATCTTTTCCCAGGGTGGGGGAGTCCAAAACTAGAGGGGCACAGGTTTAAGGTGAGAGGGGAAAGATTTAAAAGGGACATAAGGGGCAACTTTTTCACGCAGAGGGTGGTGCACGTATGCAATGAGCTGCCAGAGGAAGTGGTGGAGGCTGGTACAATTACAACGTTGAAACAGCATCTGGATGGGTTCATGAGTAGGAAGGGTTTAGAGGGAGATAGTAGGAACTGCAGATGCTGGAGAATCCGAGACAACAAGGTGCGGGGCCTGAAATGTCAGCCTTTTTGCTCCTATGATGCTGCTTGGCCTGCTGTGATCATCCAGCTCTGCACCTTGTTGTCTAAGGTTTAGAGGGATATGGGCCAAATGCTGGCAAATGGGACTAGATTTATTTAGGATATCTGGACAACATGGGCAAGTTGGGCCAAAGGAACAAAAACAGAAACTGCTGGAAAAGCTCAGCAGGTCTGGCAGCATCTGTGAAGGAGAAAACAGAGTTAATGTTTCGGGTCCGGTGACCCTTCCTCAGAACCGGACCCGAAACCTTAACTCTGTTTTTTCCTTCAGAGATGCTGCCAGACCTGCTGAGCTTTTCCAGCAACTTCTGTTTTTGTTCCTGATTTACAGCATCCGCAGTTCTTTCGGTTTTTATTTAAGTTGGGCCAAAATGTCTGTTTCCTTGCTGTATGTCCCTGTGATTTTTGAAATTCTCAATGAATTAATAACCAAATTATGTAAATTAATGGGTTGGAGCACCTTAAAAGTGGTCTGTAAACATTCTATATACTGAGACAGAATCATTACAGTGCAGGACGAGGCCATTCAGCCCATCATGCCTGCACTGGATCTATTAGCTAGCACCAATCTCCTCTCTTTTCCCATGTCCCTACTTCTATTTCTATCCAAATAACCATCCAACGCCCTCTTCAAAGTCTCAATTGAACCTGCCTCCACCACTTTGCCATATATCTGCTGCCCTTGTCCTTCCAAATAGAAGTGGTCATGGGTTTGGAAGGCACTGCCTGAGGATCTTTGGTGAATTTCTGCAGCGCATCTTGTAGATAGTGCACACTGCTGTTACTGAGCGTCGGTGATGGAGGGAGGGGATGCTTGTGGATGTGATGCCAATCAAGCGGGCTGTTTTGTTCTGGATGGTGTCAAGCTTCTTGAGTGTTTCAGGTGACCCTTAAACTGTTGTGTAGAAAAGTCTCATAAATCAGGGTGACTGGGGAGTAGACAATAAATTCTAGTCTTACTTGCTCAAGAAGTTATGAAATAGGGGTAAAAGCAAGCCATTCAGCCCTTCGAATCTGCTCTTTACCATTCAGTCAGATCATTGCTGATCTGAGTGTGGTTCCAACTCTACTTTCCTGCCTGACCCTGATAACCTTTGACCCCTTTGCCCACTGTGCAGCAAGAAGCCAAGGGGCTCTTGCATGCAGTGACTGAATGCAGAAAGGCAGGACAGAGACCTGGACAGCACAGCATAAAGCTGGGGCAGCACGATGGCTCAGTAGTTAGCACTGCTGCTTCCTGATGCTAGGGACCTGGGTTCAATTCCAGCCTCAGACAACTGTCTGGAGTTTGCATGGTCTCCCCGTGTCTGTGTGGGTTTCCTCTGGGCGCTCTGGTTTCCTCCCACAGGAGGATCAAAGATGTGCATGTTGGGTGAATTGCCCGTAGTGTGTAGGTTAGCCATGGGAAATACAGGGTAGAGTGGGATGGTCCCCAGAGGGGTGGATGTCAACTGAAAGGGCTGAATGGCCTGCTTCCACACTGTAGGGATTCTATTCTAAACAAAAGAGGAAACCATCTACCATGTTATATACTTGAAGAATGGTGAACCTAGAGTATACGTTGACACCTGACCTTTAGCCAAATAAGCCAAACACCTTGCAGGGACCAGCTGCTGAAGGGAACCTATTGCAGCACACAGCTCCCTGATAAAATCGCAGAGAGGGCACGGTGACTCCCAACAGGCTATTGCTGATGTTAGGGGCCTGGTGATCACTGTCACCAACTTGTAGCAATCTTCACACAATTGATTGAGTTTATTAAGGAGGCAGCAGCAGGTTAGACATGACTCATTAGGTAGTCAGGCAAAGAACTCAGAACCCTTCACTAATCACAAGGCCATTCTGTCAAGGGGAAAGTCACCACAGTCCTACAGGGCCACATGGCTGCTCTCACGTTAGAGAGACAGGGGGGGGGGGGGGTTTAATTTGACGGTCACCATGTCTCGGGCAAAGGGGAGAGGTTGAGAAGGAGAGTCCTTCACGGTAATCACAGCTGGTGTGGGAATCAAACCTGTGCTTTTGGCATTGCACTGCTGTGCAGACCAGCCATTCAGCCAACTGAGCGCCAAGTGCGGTACTGAGGGAGTGCTGCATTGTCAGAGGTGCAGACTTTCAAATGAATGGCTAAACTGCAAGACCCCCCCCCCATCCCCCCCCATCTGCTGTCTCAGGAGGATGTAGCAGATCCCATTCTCTTATAGAAGATGGCCAACGTTTCTCTCAATGTGAAATGATCTGATTGAGAGCAGCTTGCGGGATCTTACTATGTCACCATTAGATAGAGGAACAGAATTATGCTATTCGGGTTCGATCGTGGCTGATATGTTTCTCAACCCCATTCTCCTGCCTTCTCCCTGCAACATTTGACCTCTGTACTAATCTAAAGAACCTATCTGTCTATGACATCTCCCTCACCGCAGTCCCTGCTCAATTCCAGTCGGAGACGTCCTGAGGTTATTGTGAAAGGTTCTGCTTTATCTGTTGACTTGTCTTTCTTTATGCCCCCCGAGCAGTCGTCTGGAAGAAAGATGGCGAGGTCCTGAAATCGAGCCAGACTCACATCCTGAAGGCGGAGGGAGAGAGACACACTCTGTACATCCCCTCGGCGACCACCCTGGATGGGGGCCTGTACTCAGTCAGCGCGGCCAATGAAGTGGGACTGGCCAGCTGCTGTGCCTCTGTCCAGGTCCGAGTAGGTACGTGACCAACAGCAAGCAGAGGCCTGCATTTATATATTGCCCTCTGCATCCTCCGCGTGGCCCAGCGTTGCACAATGTTACATTAAATACAGCCATTCAGTGTATCTGTCCTAATGCTAGTGTTTACACTCCATGTGAGGCTCTTCCTACCCCTTTACATTCCAATCCATTCCCCTCTCCCTTTATTCCTCCCTCCCTCATGTCTTCCCCTGAGGTAGATCGATACTATCCACCTCCACACTCTCACCTCTGTCCGGCTAAAGTACCTTTCTCCTGCTCTCCCCGTCTGATTTCGGACTGAGTATCTTAGAATGAGGGCTCCTGGTTTTAGTCTCCCCTACGAGTGAAAACATCCTCTCCGCGTCGATCCTCAAATTCCTTCATCAATTTAAAGAACTTAACCCCGTTTCCGGGGTAACATGGTGGCTCAGTGGTTAGCAATGCTGCTTCATAGCACCAGGGACCCAGGTTCAATCCCACCCTCAGGCGACTGTCTGTGTGGTGTGTGCACATTCTCCCCGTGTCTGCGTGGGTTTCCTCCGGGTGCTCTGGTTTCTTCCCACAGTCCAAAGATGTGCAGGTTAGGGTGGATTGGTCATTCTATGATTTTTCTCCTCAGAGGCCCTTGTTTAGGATTGAATCCCGAGAGTGCAGAAACTGGCCATTCAGCCCTTTCAGTTGATTCTTTTTCATTTTTAAAAAAAGGCCCAGCCTGATAGGACCACCCACCCAGCTTCAGTTTTCCAACAAGGAAAGCCATAGAATCCCTACAGTGTGGAAGCAGGCCATTTGGCCCATCAAGTCCACACTACCCCCACAAAGAGCATCCCATCCAAACCCTCAATATCCCATGGCTAACCCACATAGCCTGCACATCTCTGCACAATTTCCCACAGCCAATCCACCTTTGGCCTGTGGGAGGAAACCCACCCCAGACAGGTAGAGAACATGTAACCTCCACACAGGCAATCACTCGAGGGTAGAATCAAACCCAGGTCCCTGGCACTGTGAGGCAGCAGTGCTAACCACTGAGCCACCATGCCACCCAAACTCAAAGCCTTCTATCAGTCAGTAAGTCTAGTCACCAGTGTCCCATAGGGCTGCTCTCTCATTGGAGAGAGAGAGAGACAGAAAGAGAGAGAGCGCAAGAGAGAGAGTGCGAGAGAGAGAGAGAGCATGAGAGAGAGAGACGCTGGTGGTGGTTTAACCTGGTGGTCACCATGCCTCAGGCAAGGGGGAGATGTTGAGTGAGAGACTCATTCATGGTAATCTCAGCCAATGCAGAAATTGAACCCAGCTGTTGGGGTTAGTGTCAAAGAATGGGTAAAGGAGCAGTAGGACCAATCCGAGACCATGAAGGGGATTTACACCTGGAGGCAACAGGTCTTGGCTGGGTACGTTGCATCTGTCTTTATAAAAGAGGAGGATACTGTAGAGGTCATGGTGATAGAGAAGGAGACTGTCACAAGAAGGGTTTAAAATTAAAAGGAAGAAGTCTTGGATAGGGGTTGGTATTTAAAGTTAACAAGCCACTGGGACTAGATGAGATGCATCTAAGTTTACTGAAGGAAGTGAGAATCGAATTTTCAGAGACACTGTCCACACTCTTTCGGTTTTCTATAGACTCGGGGAGGTCCCAAAAGACTGAAGAATTGCAAACATTATGACCTTGTTCAAGAAAGGTTGTAAGGATAAGCTCAACAATTACAGGCCGGTCAATTTAACTTCTATAATATGAAAAGAACTGCAAAAGCTGCAAATCAGAATCATAGGCAGGCAGTGCTGGAGAAAATCAGCAGGTCTGGTAGCATCTGTGGAGAGAGAAACAGAGTCAACGTTTTGGATCCAGTCACCCTTTGTCAGAACTATTAGTAGCTGGGAAAAGAAGAAGGGTTGCCAACACCTGAAACATTAACTCTGCTTTCTCTCCACGGATGTGGCCTGACCTGCTGAGTTTCTCTAGCACTTTCTGTTTTTGTGTCAGTTTGACCTCACTGGTGGGAAAACTTGTAGAAACTATTATTCGGGATGAAATCAGCAGTTTCATGGAGAAAGGTTAGAAAGGGTCAGCATGGACTTCTAAAGGGAAAATTGTGTCATACTAACTCGCTGATTTTTTTTGAGGAGGTAGCAGAAAGACTTAATGAGGTGTACATAGGTTTCCAGAGGGAGTGCTACACAACAGACTTGTGAGGAGACTTAAAGGTCATGGTATAAAAGGTACAGTAGCAACAAATTGGACTGAGTGGTAGGAAACAGTGGATAGTATTTGGGCTGGAGGAAGGGTTGTGGTGGTGTTCCCCAGGGGTCAGTGTTGGGACTCTTGCATTTCCTGATATATAACGATGGTCTGAATCTTGGTGTGCAGGGGACCGTTTCAAAGTTTGGCGATTATGTGAGGCTTGGAAGAATTGTAACCTGTGAGAGGACAGTGTGTGACTCCAAAAGGACGCCGGCAAAGTTAGTGGATGGGGTGATCAGGTAGATAGAGTCAAAGAGTCATAGAGATGTACAGCACAGAAACAGACCCTTTTGTCCAACTCATGAGATTCAATGCAGAGAAATATGAAGTGATGCACTTTGGTCAGAAGAACATTGAAAGTCCATATAAAATAGAGGGTACAATTCTAAATGGGGAGCAGAAGCAGAGGGAGCTGGGTGTTTATGTACGCAGATCATCGAAGGTGGTAGGACAGGGGTAGAGAGCAGTTAATAATGCACACGGTGTTCTCAGCTTTATTAATTGTGGCATAGAATACAAGAGCAAGGAGGTGATGTTGAACTTGTATAAACATAGAAACTTAGATGGTAGGACCAGGAGTAGGAGAAGGCTCCACTATTCAATATGATCCTGGCTGATCATCCAACTCAGTCCCCTGTTCCTGTTTTCTCCCCCATAACCTTTGATCCTTTTAGCCCTAAGAATTATATCGAACTCCTTCTTGAAAACATTCAATGTTTTGGGCTCAACTGTGGCAGAGAATTCCACACGCTCCCCACTCTCTGGGGGAAGACATTTCTCCCCATCTCAGTCCTAAATGGCTGACCCCAGATCTTTATTAGACTGTGTCCCCTGCTTCTGTATTCCCTGGTCATTAAGAACATCCTTCCTGTGTTTACCCTGTCTGGTCCCATTAGAATTTTATAGGTTTCTATGAGGATCCCCCTCATTCTTCTTAACTCCAGTGAAGATAATCCTTATCGATCCAGTCTGTCTTCGTACGTCAGTCCTGCCACCCCCCGGAATCAGTCTGGGAAACCTTTGTTGCTCTCCCTCCATCACCAGAACATCCTTCCTCAGGTACCGAGACCAAAACTGCACAAGACACATTGCTGTAGGTAGACAGACACAAATGGCCAGAAACGGAATGGCAGGACAGAGAGAGAGAGAGAGTGTGTGTGTGTGTGAACTTTGAGTTGGAATACAGTCAGACAAGGCCGTGTCATCAGTGCGCCAAGTTCCGATCAGCTAACTTGAGGGGAAAAAAAAACGAAATAGTGCAGATGCCAGAAAATCCGAAAATAAAACAGAAAATTCTGGAAATTCTCAGCAGGTCAAGCAGCGGCTGTGGAGAGAGAGAGGAAACGAGTTAGAAGCTAAGTCTGAAGCATTAACTCTGTCTCTGTTTACTTTAGGGAGGGAAATCTGCCATCCTAACCCAGTCTGTGATCCACTGCCACACCAATATGTTCTCCTCACTGCCCTATGAGCCGGCTCTAGCAAGTTACACTATTTCATCATAGTCATAGAATCCCTACAAACCTTATTGAGTTCTTTGAGAAGGTGACCAAACAGGTGGATGTGGGTAAAGCGGTTGATGTGGTGTATTTGGATTTCAGTAAAGCGTTTGATAAGGTTCCCCATGGTAGGCTATTGCAGAAAATACGGAGGCATGGGATTGAGGGTGATTTAGCGGTTTGGATCAGAAATTGGCTAGCTGTAAGAAGACAGAGGGTGGTGGTTGATGGGAAATGTTCATCCTGGAGTTCAGTTACTAGTGGTGTACCTCAAGGATCTGTTTTGGGGCCACTGCTGTTTGTCATTTTTATAAATGACCTGGATGAGGGTGTAGAAGGATGGGTTAGTAAATTTGCAGATGACACCAAAGTCGGTGGAGTTGTGGATAGTGCGGAAGGATGTTGCAGGTTACAGAGGGACATAGATAAGCTGCAGAGCTGGGCTGAGAGGTGGCAAATGGAGTTTAATGCGGAAAAGTGTGAGGTGATTCACTTTGGAAGGAGTAACAGGAATACAGAGTACTGGGCTAATGGTAAGATTCTTGGTAGTGTGGATGAGCAAAAAGATCTCGGTGTCCATGTGCATAGATCACTGAAAGTTGCCACCCAGGTTGATAGCGTTGTTAAGAAGGCGTACGGTATGTTAGGTTTTATTGGTAGAGGGATTGAGTTTCGGAGCCATGAGGTCATGTTGCAGCTGTACAAAACTCTGGTGCGGCCGCACTTGGAGTATTGCGTACAGTTCTGGTTGCGGCATTATAGGAAGGATGTGGAAGCATTGGAAAGGGTGCAGAGGAGATTTACCAGGATGTTGCCTGGTATGGAGGGAAGGTCTTATGAGGAAAGGCTGAGGGACTTGAGGCTGTTTTCGTTAGAGAGAAGAAGGTTAAGAGGTGACTTGATAGAGACATACAAGATGATCAGAGGATTAGATAGGGTGGACAGCGAGAGCCTTTTTCCTCGGATGGTGATGGCTAGCACGAGGGGACATAGCTTTAAAGTGAGGGGTGATATATATAGGACAGATGTCAGAGGTAGGTTCTTTACTCAGAGAGTAGTAAGGGCGTGGAATGCCCTGCCTGCAAAAGTGGTAGACTCTTCAACTTTAAGGGCATTTAAATGGTCATTGGATAAAAATATGGATGATAATGGAATAGTTTAGGTTAGATGGGCTTCAGATTGGTTTCACAGGTCGGTGCAACATCAAGGGCCAAAGGGCCTGTACTGCGCTGTAATGTTCTTTGTTCTATGTTCTATGTACGGTGTGGAAACAGGCCCTTCGGCCCAACAAGTCCACACTCTCCCTCAGAGCATCTCACCCTATTTAAGGGGCAACAAGGCCTGGTCTTGTTGTATCTCATAAGATGTGGGAGGAGGCCATTCAGCCCTATTCTGCTAACCCCTACATTCCTGCTTTTTCCCCCGTAACCGTCGATTCTCTTCCTGATTAAAAGTCTACCTCAACCTTGAATATACTCAAAGACCCGGGCAGCCCTCTGTGGTAAACAGAATGGGGTGGAAGTATTGTGCAAGGGTATGGGGGGGAAAGCAGGAGACTGTTAGTAGGTAATGATGCTTGATGAAGAGCCTTTGTAGGCATGATGGGCTGAAAGGCCTCTGTCTGTGATTACAAAAGGAAATTATTTCTACAGTGGGCAGAGAGTGGACATATCTGACCAACAAATGCAATGATTCTTATGGGAAATGCATCGTCACTTGCCCTTCCCCCAGCTCTGCTGGGATTTGGAAAGACTTGACGTGAGCTGGAATTGTACTGGGTCCCTATATAAAGAGAAGGAGATGCCATGCATACCTGGTGACGACATGCCCACTACTGTTTACTGTTCACCACACACTCTCTCTCTCTCTCTCGGCTCCTTCTCTGAAGCCAGGATCGCAGCGTCTGCTCACAGATATTCCTCAGCAGCTTCCCATCATCTTCAGAACCATCCCTCCTGAACCCTGGATAAAGGGAACACCCTCCACCTGTTTGACGGCTCCTAGAAACCCAGCCCGGATTTAGATAGCGACTTTCGGATATCCGGCAGACTGTAACTGTCCTGGTGTTTGGAATTGCCGAGGGATCTGTTTGGAAAAATTAAATACTTGGGAAGGAGTTTGGTTCTTTGCTCATCCTTGGGGGATGACGGTCGGAGTTTCAGGGAGATTCTGAGAGGGAGGGCTGTGTGCCAGGAACAGCTATAGCTGGATTTGAGCTGTTGTTGGTGGTTCACTTGGAGACAGCGTATACAGCTCAGCGATGAATTCCATCGGGAGGAGAGGGCAGAGATAGAGCTAACTCTAACTCCTTTGTCACAAGTCTGGTAAGAGCTGGGCCTGGGATTCAAGGACATTGGTGTCGGCTGTACATGCAGCACGGTTGGAGAATTTCACAAACGGGGATTAAAACCCACTCCGTCTTACAACGATGACCAGAACCAACCCCCCCCCGACAATCTGTTCACTCCTCCCCCACCCCACACCCGTTCACTCCTCCACACCCCACACCCCACACCCTCACCGGTTCACTCCTCCTTCAAAACAGACCACTCTCACGAAACGTAACGCCACGTGTCCCAACATCGCTTAATGTTTCAGACAAGCTGCTCGGGTCAGCTCATGATGAAACAGGTGCTACATCAATGCAGCTTGTTGTTTCCCATGGCAACTGTTAAGAATCACTTTATGGGATTTTCTGGGATGTCCTGAGGCTATGAAAGGCCTTGAATAAATGCAGACCACCCCACACCCCCCCCCCCCCCCCCCCCCCCCACCCACCCGGCTTCTCTAAACCCCTCCCCACACCCCCAATCCCCCTCTCTAACCTCCGTCCCCTTCTCTAACCCCCATCCGCCTCTCTAACCCCCATCCGCCTCTTTGACC